CCCCCCTCTCTCTCTCTCAAATCACGAGCTTGCCGTCTTGCATTACCTGTGCTCGTGATAAGAACATAAGGTCCTTACAGACCTCCGTTATCAGCCGTCTTGTCATCTTATTACTCTACGTCACCCAACAACAGACGCTAAATGTGTCCTGATTATTGGGCCTGGAGTGGGCTATTTCCGTCCAGCGCATAGACTTATATTGCAATATCCTTGACCATTTGTTTCAATGCAATTGTGGAATCAGTCCTGTTGTATGGATGTAAGACGTGGAACGCATTACATACTTGAATAAAACTGTCCCCGTGGTTTTATGCACCCTGCATAATTAAGCAAAATTTGATAATTGTTTGCATAATTTCTGATTATTTTCCTTCATTATTCTTTGATAAAATTAACAGAATCGATTAATTTCACATTTTTGGGCTCAGTTTGAATAATTTCAGATTTATTATTTTTTTGCATAAAACCACGGGGACAGATAAAGAGGACCCAGGTTTTCTTGAACAAGTGTCTAAGAAAGTTATTGAGGATCAGATGGACACACGTACAGGATTAAGAAAAACGAGACAGATCCCAGTCAGAGATGAGGTAGGAAGAAGGCGGTGGCGATGGGTTGGACATACATGTACTCTCAGGGAGTCAGGCAGCTGCATAACAAAGAAGGTGTTGGATTGGAATTCATAGGGTAAAAGATCAAGAGGAAGACTGCGTAGAACCTGGAGAAAAATCACATGAATTAATATACAGAAAAATGGGAAGACATGGAATAACATCAAGAGGCTAACCCAGGATAGAGAAAGATAAAAAGTGTTTGTCCATGGCCTATACCCTGACCCAGGGTGAGAAAGGCAATGGTGATCCATGACGATGCACTCTGACTAAATTCCGGTTCTCAATAGAGCATAACATTTGACTCAGTTTGGAGTCAAATGAAAGACAAAGGGGGGTTGTTTGGTGATTTGATGTGGTTTGCTCCGTCTTTCCTTAAAAAAAACCCCGAAAACAAACCATCTAGATCTATCGTCCTTATCTTTTTTTTTTTCTTCTTTCTCTCTATGTCACTCTTAAGTAACACTTCTAGTCTTCGACGCTTATATGACGTATTAAAAAGTGTGTTGCAAGTGCTGTAAAACTCTTACTTAAACTAAAGCAAAGAGGGAGAGGTGCTGCACACAATCGACTGTAACAAGACTGTTTTTTCCCCTTTATTTCATCATCATTGCCTTTCTCACCCTGGATCAGGATATAGGCCACGAACAAACACTCTCCACCTTTTCCTATCCTCGGCTAGTCGCTTGATGTCACTCCACGTCTTCCCACTTTTCTGTACATCCTTTTCCGTGACTCTTCTCCAGGTTCTACGTGGTCTTCCCCTTGATCTTTTACCCTGTCGGTTCCAATCTAACACTTTTCTTGTTATGCAGCTGCTTGACTTCCTGAAAGTGTGTCCAATCCATCGCCAACGTCTTCTTCCCACCTCATCTCTGACTGGTCTCTGTCTCGTTCTTCTTAATACTTCCCTTTATTTGGGGGCTCACAATGAACACGATTCTCAACTCAGTTTTTATAGAGGGCAAAGAGGAAAGAGTGTCGGCCATGACAGTGTGTGATCTGAGATTCCAATCTATGGTGCTGCGTGACTGGCTTGCGGTGAGCGTGCTGCCACACGAAGACTGAGCTGTCTATGTCTGTAATCAGCGCCGATTCATGTTGTAGCCAGATTGGGCCCGGGTATAGCGACTGGGGGATTACGTAAAAGGTTTGGGGGCGGGGTGGGGGTGGGATGGGGGATATTGTCAAGGGGTGTTTTTTATATTGTGTGGAAGGAACAGATTACTATTTCAAAACAACACGACAGCAAAAAATGCGACGTTTCCAGTCCTGCTACCCTCCTCTTTCTCTCTCTCTCTCTCTCT